AAGCACATTTTAATTTTATAATTTAAACAAGTATTTATTATTACTACAGAAAATAACATTTTAGATTATACCAAGTACAGCGCTCAAATACACATTCTTACATGATGAATTGAACATAACCTGCAAAGTGATATTTCAGTGTATCTGAAGAATGGATGAAAGCATTGTTAAAATGAAGACTAATTGATTATGCTGTGGAAAATTATTTATTTTTTCCTCACTCTTGAGAAAGGGGGAAACACAAGAGTGGGGGAAATTAAATATGTATATACATTACTATTCACATACAGTGCTTGATGTGAGAGAAGAATGATGGTTTGTGTGATGTGTGACTTTGATCCTGAAATATTATAGACAAAAGCGGCAAAATTGGTTTCATCGGTGAAAACTCCACTTCGGACAACTATTCTGAAATGCATTCTTTCTGATTCAATGTGCTTACATGCGGGGTGACTTTACAACTGTATGGGGCATGATCATTCACCACTGTTCTACGACAGTACGTCATGTCTTAATGCTGATAAGGAGCAATTGTACAAGAACCAAGATCTCCCATGAACTTTGCCACTTGTGGGATTTGAAGTCTCTCACAGTCGCATGAACCTCCGGAAAGACACAGGTTCAAATCCATTTATTGCAGATACAAATTTTTTGACAAAGGTGAAAGACAATAAAGTTATTACACTGTGTATTCATTTTTCCTTATATTAAATTAAAGACACACTTTTGAAAAAAAATTTCAGATATGTCACAGATTTTAATGAGATATTTTATGTCATCCACCTCCATTATTGTGACATATGCCTGTTTTATAAATTGTACACAATCTAATTTGAACATCAGACTAAGAATTTATTAGTGACGTACACCAAAATAAAATATCTTTGTCAGCTTTAATGTAGACTTCCAAATTTCACAAATGATTTTGAAGATGAAACACGCAGATGGACATACATACAAATATGAATTCTCCATAATGCATTCAATTCATGTTTGTGCGTGTGCATGTGCACATGTGTATAAAATTAAGTAAGACAGGATTCAGTTTCATTACATCCCACTTCAAGCACTGTAATGTATGCAAATATTTTTGGAACGTAATATACTGCCTATGTAGATGGCATATCTCATGTAGCCTACTTCATCCTCAACTTGTTTACTGTGCTGAATGCAACTTTCCAATCATGTCACTTACTAAGAACACAGGACAATATTAATCTTTACTCAAACAGCAAGTAGCCCCCTTACATTGCTGCAATACTCTGAGCACAGGGCTACAGAACGGCAGATGATCATCAGTCGGATGTGGTCAATGCTAACTAACTAACTAACTAACTAGATGGCATACCGAACCCGAATGTTCATCACCGAACTAACCAAAGCCCTCCACCGGACCCTGTCCTGGGCCAACAAAATCCAGTCTCCTTCAACTCCTATCTCCCATATATCCCGCCTGACATTATCCTCCCATCTACGTCTAGGTCTCCCCAGCGGTCTCTTCCCCTCAGACTTCCCAGGCAATACCCAGTGCACACCTCTTGTCCCATCCATGCGTGCTACATGCCCCGCCCATCTGTGGTCAATGCTAAGAGCGTTAAATGATCCATTAGTGCTGAAAGTTTAAGTCATATATATTAAGCTCATAATATGGATTCAATCTTGATAAGTGTAGACGTATAAAAATTGTTACAGTGAACAGAATCACAACAGATAACTGCCAATAAATCTTCTTACTTATATTTATTTACTGAGTCCAAATGATTGTCAGACTTTTCTTGAATATAGCCGTGTTACATAAAATACTATATCTTATTAGAGGAATGGATACAGTTTGATTAATTTGTGCAGTGATGCCCAAAGAATATTCATCAGTGGTAATATAAGGCTTAAATATCAAATCTCTTTGTAGATTCATCTTCTTCTTTTTCCGGTTTAACAATGTTTGTACATTTTCTGGTACCCTTTTTGGGTCCCCAATTTTTTCAGTTGGCTTGATCTATGGACATTCAGTAGGACTCCTTGGACGGGGGATCGGTTCGTCGCAAGGCCTCTACCTGTACACAGGACAACACAACACAGAAAAACATCCATGGCTTGAGTGGGATTCGAACCCACGGTCCCTGCGACCAAGAGGCACAAGGCCCACGCCTCAGACTGTGCGGCCACTGCGGACCCCTTGTAGATTCATGAAATAAAAGATAATCAAAAGATACTCCAGTGACTTCCGTCAAGACAGTATTCGATCACCAACATTTTTCTACTATTTCAATCTTAGCAGCTTTGTCACAGACAACTGCGGCCTGTGATGTGGAGTTTCAGGTGATTTAATTATGTCGTATCAGTCACAGAGGTAACATCACAATGATCATGAGTTTTAAAGGATTTCAAAGGAACCAGTTAACAGCCTTCATGACTGCACTATCCAGTAACTGGCTTTGTGAAACCTTAGTCAGCAAAATGGGCTCCTTAATTATTATTAAAGAGTGTACCTCCCAGATATAAATCAGTCACGCTCCTCGAAACTGCTTGGTGGTGACTGAGTTTGTTTAACAAAGTTATTTCAATTGAATGATACAAGACAAGAATGTGATCAAAAATAGTTGTGGTCTATGAATGTCTTTAAAGGTAACTATCCAGCATCTGCGTACATCAGTGGTCCCCAACCTTTTTTTGTGCCTACGGGCACATTTGAGAGTTTTTGAGATCGTGGAGGGCACCAACCAATTAACAAAGCCAAATTTTCTTTTCTCTGGACAAATAAGTTATGGACACCAAATAATACACAAAACAACACAACGTTTAATGATACAAGAAATCGTGCAATCAAAAGTACGTACTTTTATAAGTACATTTATTATTACTCAAGCAGGAAGTTAGTGTGATGTTTGGCACTGCATTTCATGGGCCAGTTTTTCAAATTTGGGAGTGTAGGATGATGTTGCTGCTCGCAAACAATCGTCAAGATGGGCGTCAGTGAGTCGAGATCTGCGCTTTGATTTTATAATGTTCGTGGTTGAACGGCCTTCATTATTCAGTATAACCTCTTTCTGTAACAACGCGGGCACCCAAAAAGAGCCTTGGATGGCACCGCGTTGGGGACCACTGATCTAAATCATGCTGTTCACTACAAAATATTTTGTATTTACTTGCATGTGTTTGTTAGCAAGAGATTTTAGGTCCAGAGCCATGTTTTACAAAATACAAATTAATCAAATCAAAGTACATTTTACATGCAGTATTCTTGAATGGCTACATAGGAATCTGATGGTAATCAGTATCTGATTTGTTCTGCATCAGAAAACTTTACACAAAATTCATTATATATCCTTTAGGAAAGAGATTTATATATAATGATCATTTTTTTAAGCTAATGGCAGCATTTTATAAAGTTGTGATTTAACTCTTTAAAGGCATGTTACACTGTAAAGGAGGGAGAAATTAAGTACAATTAATTGCAATTAAATTAACTGAGGAGTCTTCTTTGTCTTCCTTATGCTGTTTATACATTTGTGCATATGAGTCTCAAAGGAGTACGGGGGCCACAATTCAAATCCTGCAACAGTCTCCAAACATAATCACACAACCCTGAAGGAATGCCAATTTTTCAATGTCTTTAGATAAAAAAATTTGTTACCATTTTTCAGTGTGTCATTATGGTGACTAAGTATATTTTCCAACAACCTCAGCTGCGCACGTGTGATTTGTGTTTCGCTACATATGTCTTTGTAAGTTATGTCATAAAATTTATGAGTGATATGGAAAAGGGAAAGAAATGTGATTAATTTTAAGTTCTACAGGATCACTGACCATGGATTGGATGTGTTGAAGACTGAGGCCACAAATGCGAATGCAAGTGAAAAACTTGCGCAGTTTCTAAGACCATTCAACCAGATATTAAATTCAAGTCACAGACTCAAATTTAAGTCAATAAAGCAGTGAGGATTTCTGAACAGATGCACGTTTTCATTTTTATTTTATGCAATAAACTTTCAGCCGCAGGAAAAAACCGAACTTAAAAGGGAATTTAAAACCGCTTACTAAAAGGCTGAAGAATTTAAGCCTGGTGGTGCCAGAGTGACACACGGCCAACTGGATCACATGTAAAGCAGTGAAGCACAGATGATAAAAGGTTAAATAATCATACCAGCCCTCTCCTACTGATGTATGCAGTAATAAATTATATTATAATTTAATAAAATCTTCTGGGGTCCGCAGTGGCGGCACGGTCTGAGGCATGGACCTTGTGTCGCTTGGTTGCAGGGACCGTGGGTTCGATTCCCACTCAAGCTATGGATGTCTGTCCGCGTTGTGTTGTCCTGTGTACAGGTAGAGGCCTTGCGACAGGCTGATCCTTCGTCCAAGGAGTCCTATCGAATGTCCATAGATCAAGCCAACTGAAAAGTTGGGGACCCGTAAATAGTACCGGAAAATGTACAAACATTGTTAAACCAGAAAAAGAAGAGAATAAAATCTTCTCGGGCAATCAGCTGTGTTAGCTGGTTACTGCAGTAAACCGACGTTTCGGGAACAAACTCTGTCCCCATCTTCAGGGTTCTGATGTGACTGGATCTTATATATTATAATTTGTTTCCATAAAATAGAATAAAAAGTATGAAAGTATTGGCATTTTTGTTCCTAGAAAAAAAAGATACTGAGGAAGATATTGTGAGATGTGAAGTTCTCACAGCAGTGAGGATTGCTCTTTGGAGTTTTGACGCCATAGGTAGATACAAAAGTTTCAGAGAAACAAACCATCTCCATTTTCAGTCCTTCAGATGGAGACGGTATGCTTCCCCAAAATGTTGGTTATCTACCTGCAAAGACGTTACTAAAAATGTTTGGACATCACTGCCATAGAATAGCGCTGCCTACTTTCATACATGATGCCTTCCGTATGCTGATATAATTTATGCTAATTCTGAGGTATTACCATTAAATAAATCTCCGCTTTAACCGGTAACTTATGGCAATACAGCCAGCGGTTGCTGATGCCAGGGGCCTACAATCTTGCGCCACATTTTGGAACACAACGAGTAACAAAAGACACAGCTTCAATAAGTATTTTGAGGCATTGCAGTGATTCAGTCACTATATATAGTGTTCATCACAGTTCCTCGGCGTACAATACTCTTTCACACGAGTCCACAGAAGTAATTGCAGTGAGACTGAAATGCCCTGAGGAGAGTTTTATCATATTCCGTAAGTACTACAAGTTCCAGCTTTAAAATGTGACTTACCAAGATCACTTTCAATTATACGTCGTAATATCAAACCACCACTGACCGTCTGTTGGTCTTCTTATTTGGGCTATAAGGTTCTAATGCCTCTGGTGGACTGCTGAGTGCACTGTAGTCAATTGGGAACATTGTCGAATAATTTGTGCTTCCTTCAAAAGGTCCAAAGAGGAATTGTCCTGGTCCATGTGGATGTCGGCCAAGGAGGAAGTTTGCGAAACAAAGATGATAAATGTGGTAGCGAAGAGGATGATCGCCATTCTGTTCGAGGGCAATTATAATTAATTACGATTAATAAATTCTTACGTCATATATTACCATTATTTATGTCGCTGTAACTTTCAGGAAATTTGAAATCATTTTGAGAAAATATAAGATTTGAGGATTTCTGTCTTCTGGGTTGTTGCTCTGTGTAGTCTGGTCAATGTTAACCAACGTTTCAGAGGTCATACTGCCTCCGTCATCAGGGTGATGAAACGTTGGTTAACATTGACCAGACTACACAGCGCGACAACCCAGAAGACAGAAATCTTCATTTTGAGAAAAATTATTTTTAAAATTCTTTTCACAACTGCATCTAAATATCACTTAATAAAATGCCAAATTCTGTTTCTAAGATGAAACATCAAGCTATCAGTTAGTAACTGCTTCCAAACCAAATTTTTTATAAAAATGTCAATTAATGACTTTTCTGTGACACTGACAAAATATGAAGGTGTTTGAAAAGTAATTTCTTATCAGTATAAGTGTCCACAAATACACTTCATACTTACATTATTATTACGTCAAAAGCTAAGTTTCTATACTCACTGAAGTCATGTTGCTGTAAGCCAGATCTAACACTTCGCCGACCTTCTGCGTGCTGAAGCCCAGAAAAGAGGAGTAAAACACTCGGAGCTCATCCCTCGTGATCACTCCTGAACCTGAAATTTTGTATTTAAATGAAAGTAAAGTAGGCTTGTGTTCAAAAACGTCTTTTAGGTTGGCATATTCTATGGATAAAATAAGTGAAAATTTGTCAATATCAATTTGGATCACACGCACCTTCCAAATGCATTCTTTGCTATTTTGCATACTTTTAATTATTGCAGTTAAATCTCTGCTGCTGCAAGGCACGTGCTCATTTCACTGCACAGAGCAGAAAATATTTTTCCTTGTGTTCCATTCCATTGTACCAAGTATAACCGAAAATAAGACAATTTCCACTTAGTTGTTATGGGAGATTTTGTTAAAAAATTTGTGAAAGAAAGGAACGGGACCCTTTTGACAACAAAATTTATTAAGGTTACACAGTTGTCCCTCTAGAGCAGTGGTATGCAACCTGGGGTACGTGAAATTTAAAAAAAATATATTATTTTATATATATTTTATTTAAATCTTGTCCGTCTAATCACAATAAATTTTTATTAAATATTAAAATATTACAATAATTAAAATTTAAAATATTAAATGATGTTCTTTATCGAAATATTCGATTTACATTAGACCATCATTTTTCACGACATGCTTCAGTTCATAAAGATTCAGGCACTTGAAGAACGGGTCGTTCCCAGTATCCCAGTGGTCACTGTTGTGAAATGCAGTTTCGGTTTGTTTACTTATTGTTAAAACGCGGATCAATTATAAGTGCATATTAGTCATCATTCGCTCAGTTCCTTCTTGAAACCACGGCAGTAATCATTATTTTTATTTTCCGTATTGCAACATGGATAAATTTATTAAAAAAGAAAGCGTGAAATCGATGAAAAAGGTGAAAATGACGATAGTGTTGAGTCACAAACACTGAAAAGTGCGACAGTTTCTGTTCCAATCTGTGATGTGATGTGTTGAACCATCTACAAGTAAGCCTAAAATCCCCAAAAAATGTGAAAGCGGACAGAGCGAAATACAGGTATTACAATGAATCCTACATTAAATATGGGTTTGTTTCAAATCTGTGTGATTTGCAACCAAATTCTATCGAAAAACTCTATGAAACCATCTCCACTTCACCGGCAATTAGTGACCAATCAGCGTGAGTTTAAGGACAAGCCAGGTGAATTTTCTCAAACGCAAAGCAGAAAATGTACGTAAAACTTCAAATGTAATACCTAATTTTACACAATCATCATATACCGCAGTAGAGTCTCTCATTCTGCCCGGTGCTTTATTTATAGCAGATAAAATTCTAGACAAAAAATCTGCAAATGCAGGTCGCAGAATTCATGACATGACACAAGATGTTGTTGACAAAAGATTTGCAATTCAAATTGATGAATCGGTGGATGTTTCTGATGAAGCCGAGCTGCTTGTATACATTCGGTATTTTGATGTTGTTGATGAAATTCTCGGATGTAAACAATTACCAGAACATACAAAGGGAGAAGATATTTTTAAAATCCTTGATAATTTCATGAGTTTGGAATTAGATTTGCAGTGGGAATCGTGTGTCAGTGCATCCACTGATGGGGCTGCTTCAATGACACGCCAATAAAGCGGTCTTGTTGCTGTTATTCGCAAAATTAATCCTAAAATCAGCTGGCAACACTGCATCTTACACAAACAAAGCTTGGTCGCGAAAAATATTACTTCTGATTTACACGAAACACTGAACATTTCTGTGAAAGTGGTCAATTTAATCAAGTCTCGTGCATTTAACTCCCGTCTTTTCAAGAAAATGTGCGAGGAGATGAGATCCACACACACTCAAGTCTTGTTGCACGCCGAGGTGCGATGGCTGTCACGAGGACACATGTTGACTCGACTTTTTGAACTGAAGTGTTTCCTCTCAAAATTGAAATCCGATTTGGTTACTTATTTCGAAGATGAAGGCTGGTTTTGTCAATTAGCTTATTTGGCAGATATTTTTAACAAATTTAACGATCTCAATCTTCAACTCCAAGGCTTTGATAAGAATATTTTTAAAGCGCGTGAGAAAGTGAAAGGATTTTATAAGAAACTTCTGTTTTGCATTAATCGTGTTAATAATGGGAATGTTGCATTTTTCCTAACTGTTTTTGAACTTACTGAACAAAATGAAGTTAGCGTTACTGGTGGCGTTTTGGAAATAATCAAATGCCGCTTGGAAAATCTCAGGATACAATTTTTGAAATACTTTCCAGACATTGAGAGAGAAGACAATACCTAAGATTGGATTACAAGAGCCTTCTTATACCACCGCCATAAATTCCTCTGATCTTCCCTTAAAATCAAAAGAAAACCTGCTGGAAATGTCCGTTGACGGTTCACTGAAAATAAAATTCGAAAATTTGTCAATCTGCGACTTTTGGATTTCTGCTCGCAAAGAGTTCGAGGAGCTTAGTGACGCTGCCATTCTCATCAACGTATTTGTGTGAGCAAGGCTCCTCCGCACTGACATCAATCAAAACGAAACTCAGTAACCGCTTGAACCCAGAACCATCTCTGATCCTCGCACTCACGAAGATTCTTCCCCAAATTGAGGTTCTGGAGTGCCAGAAACAAGCTCAATCATCTCATTAACAGGTCTGAACCACATTAATTAATAATTGATAAAATATTTAAACATATCATTTTGCTTTGCTAAAATACCTTCGTTCCTTTATTAATTTTTATATGATATGATGATGTTATTTAATAGCTTTCTCCTCCTTTTTCTCATTTAAAACTTATTATTTAATCTAATATTTTAGATATAATTATTTAATTTATTTTAAATGTAGATTATATACTGTGTATAACTTGAATTATACACCAACAACTTTGGGGGTACAGAGTTGAAGAGAAATTATATCTGGGGGTACGAGAACAAAAAAGATTGAATACCACTGCTCCAATATGTCAGTCACAAAGCCATGTTACATGATGTGATGCATTCACGTCTTAAAATCTATGGCGGGTCTTTAAAGGTTAATACCAGCAAAGTAGAAGTAGAAGTAGAAGTTTTATAGGATGGATATTGACCAAAATTAAAGTTGCCAAAAAAACCTTTTATTACGGACTTCAAATATAACGTTTTATCGTAGTCCCTTCATTAGTTTCTGACGCACAGAATGCCCTAGGAAACATCTTCCGAACTCCACTGGGTTCAGTGAGAAATGTCAGATCAAGATGAATCTAATTCTCATCCATTATGAAGCCATTGCTGAAAATTTAAGATACACGAAGACAATTGCTAATTGGGTAAAACAGCGTTATTTGGTTATTTTATAAGTTACATGGCAAATAATATTTATTAGTTATCTATGATAGTTGCTTATAAAAATGGTGTTTCATTGAACACCCACGTAACAGATATGGTTTCCCCATCACGTTTTTATTTAATCTATTTTACGCAAAAACACTTAAAAAGTTACAATTTAAATTGCTGACACTTCTAGGACTCACCACTTTTGTTTATCACAAGGAATATGATCTTGGGGAAGTACTGTAGCCAGAGGGGGAAGTCCTGGAGGTTTCGTGCCGAGTTCATCATCTTACTCCACTGCACCAGCCAGTGGTCAATGCTCGCAGTTCTTGGAACATGCGGTTCTTCTGTGGTTGTATCAATGAATGTTTCAGTGAATCCATTTTGTACTTCACGCAGAATATGGAACTCGGCTGAATTTGTAGACCAGTCAGCAAAATGACGTAAGCGCTAAAACAGGAAGAATTTCAACTTAAAATCTCGGGTTCGATTCCCGGCGGTGCCTGAATTTATAACTTGTGTTGGGCAAGGCCGTGGTCTAGGCAACACGGAGTTTTCCTCCGTGGCATCCCAACAATTACTCCATTCACACACAGAAGAAGGCAATGGCAAACCACTTCTGGATCATCTGCCAAGAACGTATATGAACAGGTCCCAGTCCGAGAAAAGGATGGAAGGATCCTGTTCATATGGACCTGTCGTCAGACAGAATATAAAAAAATATCTTCAGCTCTTCTTATTATCCCAGCCGTTAACAGGTCTGCAGAAAAAACGTATTCACTTTTCTATCTACGAGGACATGCAGAAGTAATCAAACAGGCACAGTGCAAAATTGAGTGTTACTACGAGAGGTAGGGTAGGATATGATGACAAATATCTTCAGTATTCATGCTATGGAATTAAATACATTTTAGCCGTAAGTCAAATATTTAGTTTACCTCGCTAAGTGCATCGAAGTCTTGCGCTGAAATAAGGCTGTCTTTGTCCCAGTCAAGAAGGTGGGAAAAGAAATGACCAAACTTCTCCTTCTGTAGCTGTGACAGACAGCTGCACGAAGCAGGGTCCTGCAATTCCTCTTCACTTGGGACCCGACTCACCCAGGTGGCTGGAAAAACATTCAGCGACTTCACTGATGAAATGGCAGATTCCAAGGATGAATGCAAAGACTGAAGATGGCACGAGTCATGGAACAGGACAGGTCGGACAGATGGAAGTAGAAAAGAAGGCAAGGAAGGAGAGGTTTAGGTTTGCCTAGAAGTACTTTACAGGTTTTCTCTGATCAAGTGCCTCCTACGCATACTTTCCAAAAAATATTTTTGCTATTTTTATTTCATGTGAGATTTGAGCTTCTCACGGAGGTGAAAATTCCTGTCGTCCCGACGGAATTAAAATCCGACCAGCACTTTTGTAGATGAAACACAGTCATTATGCCCTCATTCATGTACTTTGTGCAAACAGCGCACAGTTGAGATCAAATTCTAGCATCATCAGTGAGTCCCGACCCCACAGTTGTCATCGAAACGCAATGCGCACTTCGTTTCCGGCACTGCGACATCGCTGCCTTCAATAATTCATTCATTCTGACGCAAGGCTTGGCTCCCGTCTAGCTTGCGTGCCTCGTGGTAGCTTAGGGCGGTATCGCAGTAGGATGCCAACGGGAGGCCATGGCGCAGCTGCCAGCATCTCGGCCAAACTCAATGCATTAATTTAGTAGTCATATATCGCACCTGGCATCCGTCTGGCAGCGCTTCCAACATGGCATCGCTGCCAACCAAGATGCCAAGTTCAAATGCTACTGGCATCGCTGCCACGGCCAAGGCCAAATCAACATCACATGACAGTCTGGCCAGTCCATTGACGTCCGTGCGTGAATGTGCTTGTGTGTATTTCTGTTTCTTCCAAACATGGATAATTTCGACACCGAAAGATTGATAATTGAAATTCAGTCCCGACCATCACTATGGGATTCATCTGCTATTGAATACGCAAACCGGGACTTGAAAAAAAGAAACTGGGCAAAAGTGATAAAAGTGGACATTTCTCCTTGCTAATAGCCCTTCATTTCGTGATCTCATAATGTTGATCCATCTGTTCGCTCGACTGGCGTCGAAAGCTGGCAGCTTGTCTGGCAGCTGGACGCCATGGCATCGCTGTTGGTGTCGCTGCCATGGCATCCTAGTGCGATACCGCCCTTAACGTCGCTTCGAATCCCGAATCTTAACCTCATTCCTTTCCGGCAAGTTATGGCTAGAAAAGCTGTAAATCTCTGCTTTTTTATTTGGGGTACCGAGTTCGAATCCTAGCACAAATACAGGCTATCCTTATCAAGTCTCGTGGTTTACTTATTTATTTAATTTATTTATAATGAATTTAACGACGGTTAAGATATTTTCGTGTGGAATGAGAGTATGATAGTGAAAGATGAATACGAAAGGATGTAGAAGGAAGCGGTCGTGGCCTAATTTAAGATACTGTTCCGGAATTTGCCTGGAGGGACGAAAGAAAATGACTAAAAACATCAGACAGGACAGCCAATCTCTGGGCCGAGATTTGAAACCGAGGCCTCTCAAATACGAAGCATCAATGATAACTACTCAACTACGGCGTTCGGTAGTTTCCTTGCTGTCACCGGGAAAATGCCATGACAGTTGTTTAAAATAGATCACGGCCGACTTTTTAAATATCATTACTTAGGAACTTAGTACTTGCAGTTGAAACAGTGTCGTTGAATATCAAAAGGACCAATGAATAGTTCATGCAATCTGTTGACGTCCTTGCCAAGTTCGTATCACTCCGCGCAACATTCTCAGTGACGTCTGTAACGAAATGCGCAGTAGTAGCGAGATTTGCGAAACGAAAAGCAAAGTATTTCATAAACATTGCTGAATATTTTATTCCCTGTTTTAAAGTCGAAATCGTCCTGTAAGTCCTGTTTGTTTGTAGCTCTGGCTGCCCACGGGTTGGACGAACGAGGTTCGATTTTCGAGGACCTCTAGATTCACTCAGTCTCCTGTCCACTGGCTCCCGGGGGTTCCTATCTTACTGGGGGGAAAAATTGGCCAGGGTCTTCATCTAAATGAAAAATTCGTGGACTTTACCTTCATTTCCCCACACATCTCCATGGCGCAAAGCTCAGTTAAGCTCACTTAATTTTCGCTCTTAACGTTAATGTGCCTTAAAGTGAGCTATAATTTAGCTGCACCAGTGTAAAAAATGAGGCATAAAGACATCTTTCTTTCAAGTTAGTTCGAGACAGGGTCAAAACGTAAGAGGTGCGATCGGAAAGTTTCAAGACTGTTTCAATAGAGGGCGAACCGGATGTAGT